AAAAAAAAAAAGCATCTTGATGCACTAATCAGATGTTTAGTCGAGACTTTTATTTTGACAGGTTTAGCGAATCTGCTCTGACCCGGTAATGATTCAAGCGCACACGAGCATGTTACACAACAAACGTGCGAAAGCCGCTGGAAACTTCTAGCAGAACGCCGCTCATTAATAACTAACCACTTCTACCAGTAAACCAGAGAGTGTAAATAGTTTTAACCTACAGTACCTGACAGGATGTCAGTTATTGAGGAGGAACGAGTCCGCGGTGGTGTTTTTAAGGACATTAATGCAGAAGATGAAGATCAGCAACCTACAGTGATCGAGAGTTTGTGCATGAACTGTTATGAAAATGTAAATATCCAGATTATTATTATTATTGAAGTAATACATCTATTTTTCTAAACTAGTAAAAAATGTCAATGTTTTGTTTTGTCCAGGGAAGCACACGTCTACTGCTTACTAAGATCCCTTTCTTCAAAGAAATCATCATCAGCTCTTTCACATGTCCACACTGTAACTGGACCAACACAGAGATCCAGTCTGCTGGGCGGATACAAGAGCAGGGTGTGCTGTACACCTTACAAGTGAAGACCAAAGAGGTATGCATCTCCTGTTAAAGTGTGTTAGAGATTTATTATCTGATCATTTATGTCATGTTGCCACATTTGAAGTTGCTCTCAGGAATAAGCAAAGCAAGTAGTTTTTCGTTTGTGCAGGACATGAACCGAGAGGTTGTGAAGTCCGACAGTGCGTCCACCAGAATTCCACAACTTGATTTTGAAATTCCTGCTTTCACACAGAACGGCTGTAAGTTTTTCCATTTTGACCTCTAACTGAAGTAGAAGTCTGTTGAATCTTCAGAATAATATTTTGAAAAGTTCCAGTTTAATAAAATGCAGTTTGATCAGTAATTTTGTCGTCTTTCTGATTGTTCAGCTTTGTCAACAATCGAGGGCCTTCTGGACAGAGCAGTGGCGGGTTTAGAACAAGACCAACCTATTAGAAAGGTGTGTGTTTTATTTGTGAATGAGGTTCACTAATTTGAGATCAATTGAGTTACGACAGAAACCCATAATTTATGTTGCAAGAGCATACATTATATAGGTATATTGGTCAAAGACAAGTTCCATTTTGGTGTATCTATTAAATTAAATGTACATAAGTGATTTTATATACACTGAAAGCATAGTAAATGCAAGTACAGTGTCTGCTTCAATGTTTCAAATAACTTTTTTTGAAAATAAAATATCAAAACATGGGTGAAATAATAGGCGTGAAGGATTTGAAATGCGAAGAGTTCTGTTTATGTGACTCTGTTTCTTTCTACATTTCAGGCAACAGATCCAGTTTCAGCTGAAAAAATAGAGGAATTCATCGAGAGGTTGAAACAACTTAAAGAAGTAGAAGAGGAATTCACATTAGTATGTCTTGCAGATAGTAAACTGCAGAAAGATTCAATGCAACTGACGAAGTTTGCTAGTTTATTATCATCAAGTTAGAACTAATGAATAACTAATTTGATTTCTATCAACAGATTATTGATGATCCATCAGGGAACAGTTTTATTGAGAATCCATTTGCGCCTCAGAAAGACATG